ACGGTCTAAATGAATGATATACTGAACGTATGTCCTCTTGATGTATGTAACTCTTTGTAACTGATTGAATATATATCTTTTGTATTCTGATAACCCTCTCGATAAGATCTGTTAGGTTTATATGCATATTCTATGTATTAATAAATGTATCCTCGTGTATATAGTACCTGTGTGTGTGCGTTGTTTGAGTTATATCCCATGGTTGGATTCTAAAGCCATCAAAAGAATCAATTTTGTGGTTTACTGCTACAATTGATAATTGTCCCAGTAAATGCCCAAACCCTACAGAACTGGTGCCTTCAGAGAGCACACTACACAGAAAAAATTTCCAAAAGCCAGGAAACAAAAAAAAAGAAAAAAAAACTGCTCGAGGGGTCTAAGGTAGGCTCAGCATTCTGTCAAGTAAGTCTGACAGGACGAACTGTAGAATGGCTAGAGAGCGATAAAGACCCTATGTGTAGCGGCGAGACGGGGGTTAGCCCGGGCTCAGCTGTTCAGGAGAAGCCGTAAAGAAACCTATGCCCTCAGGCCAAGGACAGGAGTGACCTGGTGCTAGGTGGGTCTCAGGGCAACTGAACAACAATGCTGAGCAAGTAGCAGAGCAGAAGCAGGAAATAAATAGGCTACACAACAAGACACACCAGAAAGACATGAATAATCACAGGGAACTAGGAACAGAAGAAACGTAGAGTGCCCTCTAGGTGTAATGAGCATGACATAATTAAGGTTTCAAAGTACATTTAAATGTAGTATCCCTCTTAAAATGTGTATTTGAATAACTAAGACACAAAACACAAATCTGACATTTTTTTCAAATTAGATGTAGACTACTTGCAATATTAAGCAGGCACTATATGATTTCCATAACTGAGTTTTGCTTTGATTATATTATAATTATTTAAGGAAATGTTGTTCTGCCATGAGCAAGTGGAGCTCACTTAGACATGTGTGGAACTACATCCTTCATTCTACAAAACTTTACAGTAGAAACACATTTTCACATCACATAGGATGTAAACACACAAAAGTGTAGCCTTTAAGGATCACATACAGTATATATTATTATGTATTATTTATGCTGAGCTACTGCCATCTCCTAAAGCAGCTGTGTTCTTTTAGAACTTCATTGATGATAATTAGTGTTTCTATGACATATCAAGTCCAATAGGTTTGCAGACACCAATAACTGGTAAAATACAGTAGAATTGCAAAATGTAACATTCCTGGGGGCACCATCATTATCCATTGCTTTTAAACTCAGTGGTCTACAAAATCACATGACTTTATCGTTGCAGAGTTTTAGTTACATGAAGAATTAGGTATAGGAAAAATGTACTTGACATAGATGTTCGTAAATAGGAAATATGTAAGACATCCTGGAATAGGAGTACTTGCTCTCTAAGATGTAGCTGTGACAGTTAATGAAAGCTATCAATCTCATTCACTTATTTTTGATTTCAAATATCACAGGTTCATTTCTTTTTGAAGCTTGGTTGAAAATTAGCATGGAGAATACCAGTTGCAGTTTATCTGAGTTGTTGTCAGCAGCCTTTAAGCCAATAATTGCAACATTTCCAGTTTCACATAATTGTTTGATATGCTATCTAATTAACTTTCTGCTTTATGGATAAGAACACTTGGTTTTGTTCCAAAAATGTTATTACACTCTGGTTGGTCATTTAGAGTTCCAAAACCTTTCAACAACGTTCACCTTCAAACTGAGCATCAGTATGCTGTTCAACCTGTTGTCATGAGAATTACATCCAATTAGAGTTACTGGGATAGTTGAAAAAAGAACCCTAGTAATGTGAAACCTTGAAAACATGCTCTAATGTTAAATGGGTCATTGTAACAAACTATTGTAAAAGTTGTTAAAAAAGAGAATATTGTTCAATTGACTGAAATTCCTTATATTGAAATATGTGCATTGCTTGGCTGTGGAACATAATTAAACTTTTCTTTTGTCATAGGTATCATCACCAGCTATGGGCTGTACATGAATGGTGTACTAGTACAGAATTCCACTTCTCTTCATTTCTCTGTCAGTGCTCTACAAACCTGGAGTCTCCACAGCTTCAGAGTGCAGGCCTGCACTGCTAAAGGCTGTGCCCTAGGTCCCCTGGTGAGTGCTCACATTTACATTATGCTAATGTAGCGGGTGTCAGATGGCAGGAAGCATCATAAAGGTGATCGATTCACTTTGGTCAATACAGCACCTTCTGGTAGCACTTGACATTTCATACAAATGCCATTCAAGAGCTGTTACCAATTTGATAGGCCATTTTTGGGCACTTTTCCAATATGTGCTAAGATTTAAGTCAAAGAACAATATCACAGACTCAGCTAAAGTTGTAGGGGAAGGAATGCTTTTTAAAATCTCAACAGGCCAAGAAAAATAATCTCCTAACAGATGGTAGGAACTAACAAATTGCAAAAAGGATATGCTGAGACCATTGTTCATTTTTACTTATTAATGCACTACATAGTTTATACCGTCATTGTGACAAAAATCTGCATTTTATTAATTCTTTATTTTTGGCATTACTGATATGGTCTACACCCTATTGAATGATTTGTCTTTCAAGAAGAATTAAGCATCTTTTAGGCTAAGTAAGGAAATAGCATTTCATAACCTAAAAGATTACCAACCTTTAATATGTCTGGGATTGTAATATATTGTCAAACTCTGGCAGAATGTATGGGATTGTTAGTGCAAACTAACATGCTCCATAGGCTTTATTAATGTATGTTTTGTACTTCAGTTTAACTAATTTGTATGGTTTGCATTCAATAATGAATCTTAGAATATAAAGGTGCACGCATGCCAATTATCCTATCCTTCAATTTATTTTCATGTGTCTTTTATCTTGGTGTGCTTTGTGAAGAGCTACCATTGAGAGCACTTCAAACACCCTGGTCATTAATGTCGTTACTCTGTAAATTTATCATTCTGCCAAATAAAAACAAAAAGAAAAGAGAATCTGTCCATTTTCAATAACATTTTTTTCATTTTTAACGCATGAGTAAATATCACAGGAAGTGTTTTAAAAAGGACAAGGACAGAACCTCAGACTCACAATCTTTTCTTTAAAGTTGTTATTTTTATCAGCATTGTTAGAGAGAATTATATGAATATGGGAGGAACATCACTTTTTAAATAACTGTCTATATTTGCATGTGGTGTGCTAGGTTTGCGAGATTGGTGATTTACCAGATGGCTTCTTTTGAGGTCAACCCTCAGTCAATTATTATACTCAGAAAAGGTCACATAACGTTTTGAAGCAACATTAAATGCATTTATGTGGGTTAGACCAGCACTTCACAATTCCTTTTCCCAGCTGAGTACAGCCCTTTAAGTTATACCTCTGTGTGTAATTAAGAAACTGCTAAAAGACCTGGAAAGGTTTTAAAGCCACTGAAGTAAATTAATTCCTGAATGTACTTTACTCACTCAGTTTATTTATATTGGGATACAGCTGAAACAAAAATGCTTCCTCAGACTCTCCAAAAATGTTTTAATTTATATTTTGGGGTACTATGCACAGTAATACATTTTAACTTTGGGGTAACATAAGTGATTGTTTTATTTGACATAATAAATACAGTAATAAGCTAAGTAAAAAAGCTAAAAATGTACCCAAGGCTGTTAACTTGTGAATTATTGCAAAAATGTATTATTAAGCATATATATCCTTAAATCCAGATTCTAGCTCTGATTGAAAAGACAATAAAAAGCAAATGTCTTGTTTATTGCACTGCTTCCATTATTCTTGGATCTGTTATGCAATACTAGCAAAATAGGTCAGATGGGTTGAATGGCTTCCTTGCATCTTTATTTTTATTTTTTTTAAGTAGAAATGTACTTTAGTAGAAAAATAATATTACGCCAAACTTCAAGAGAGATAACCACGATATCTTTACATTACAAATTTAGCCAAAGAATACTTCATGTGCCTAGGCATAGTAACAGCTGTTCACCTTGGCAGGTGGAAAGCCGAACCTTGGAAGCAGCACCAGTAGGAACAGTGACCCTGGAAGTTACCAGTGAAGGACCTCACTCTGTGAGAGCTAAGTGGATGAGCCCAGCCAAACCAAACGGTCTTTTAACTTATACCCTCCTTTTCACTGGCATCTTCTATCACCACAAAGGTAATTTGCATGTAAATGAAACCTATGAAATCCCAACTATAGCTTTCATTCTGTTTTGTTTTTTTCCAGTTTGAAGAAAAATGCATAATATTTTGCTCAACATTTGAAGTTGCCTTGACTTGGCATCTTGAGCATTTATTGCATTATTATCTCCCTTTGTTTAAGTCATCAGTGTCTTCTGAGAATGGCAGATTGCCTCCCTGAGACCCAAGGACAATCTGAGTGAAGCAGAGGTTTTGTGTTTACATATGCTTAAAGGGGCACTGAACCTTATCAGTATAATGCAGGAATGAAAGGCCTTAAATAATATTAGTTGTCTGCCTGCATTTTGCTCTTGGTGTCTGGTGAGCCTAATGCATGAGTGTAAGTGATCTAAACAATGATGAGAGAAAGAGAGCTATGCTCATAATTCAGCTTAGAGTAGTGATGAAAAGACAGATAGAAGTGGACAGATCTGTAAAAGGGTAATCTCAGAAAAAAAAATGAACCGCACCCTGATAACATAAAATTATATATACAGTAGATGATTCAAGCAATGTATAATATACATTACCCATCTTACAAAAAAATGTAGTTTTAGCATAATGTTTGGTTATATAAGTTGTGCAGTACTTTACCATATCAAGCTCAAGAGAATAAGAAAGCATACTGAATATCTATAAAAAAAACAATCATTGGTACTTTCTGTACCATTGAAAGTAAAATGAGACATTTGAACAAAAGCATTAAAGGTAAATGAGTAACACAAGTATAAAAGAAAGAACCAATGTCCTTCCTAACAGGATTTTTGTGGGATAAAGAGTTTGGCATTTGATCCATAATATCATTAAGAGGCAAGTGAGTTTTAGAACTAAGCATTATGTACAGATGAGACCAAGTTGAACCTTTACCAAAATTATGGAAAAGTGTGGAAGAACAAAAGAACTACAGGTGCTTTTCGGTGAAGCATAGTGGAGATAATGCCATGGTCTGGATTTGCACACAAGTACAAATTTCTTGGCTGTCAAGCAAAATTAGGCTTTTTCACTCTACTGTACCAATACTTTTTTGTAGGACACTGTAAGTTCCTATTTGCGATGATTGGGTTTGCCTTAATTTTGTTTGGCAGTTCGCATTTTGTTTTTAACTAATAATCCATATCAGAAATAAACCAATGGCATCTGATATTCCAAACAGCAAAATAAAAAAAATAAAGGTAAAGGTAATGCTAAGAGGTACCCTTCCAGAAAATTCATTGACAAAGTTAACCCTTTTAACAATTATGTGTATAGAACACACATTCTTTTAGGGGTTTGGCTTGGGCATTGAAAAAAGATTTTATAAGCTGACATGTTTCTAAAAGTACGTGGTGTAATATTTTTTAGAAAATTTAGAAAACTAATAGCACCACTTACAGTATACTAGGAAGTGAACATCTGCTCAAAATTTACAGATTTTACAGAAGGTCTTTATATAGTTCATACAGAATTAATTTATTTCATTATTTTTAGCTTGAATGTAAAATAAATACATTTATATTCTTGGATGTTGGGAATATATTTACTGAAATGAAATTTTAAAAATAGTTTATGTTTCTATATTAAGGCATGTATCACAAAATAATAATAATATTAAGAAATAGATTTATATATACTGTGTATGATGTACCCTGCAACATTTACCCTGTTATAGGCACTGCTTTACAAGTGTGTTTACTTGATGTTATAATTGCCATGTTCAAACCACCAGAGCCACCCAGTCCCTAATAATATGGTTTGAATGTTTGGGGTGCATTTGTGTATAATTATACTGTATACATATAGCAACAAAAATTCATTCTATGCAATGATTACATTGTCGAGACAGGATGTTACAACATTTCTACCACAGTTCCAAATAAGATATGTCACATAACTGATAACAGAATAACAGAATTATAGTGTTTTTAAATACATACAATATATACTCTATACAGCATTATTAGTAATTGTGTATAGATAGTAATTAGAAACAGATAATTTTATTATAAGTTTTAATTATAAAAATGCATTATACAAAACAGTGGTGTAAATAAATACATCTATATGAAGGCAGTCTAGAAGAATGGTGGTAATACTTGATTAACAGATATTACTTCATGTAGTTCTTTAATGTGCGTAGGATGTTGGGAAATGTAGTTTTATGTCAATGTACAGTAATTGGTTCACACACCAAATTGTAAACTACATTCTGTGCTTTGTAAAGGATATACTTCCTGTTACATTTTAAATAGACCCTTTAAAAATAAAAAAACATATTTTAGAAATTTAAAATTAATAAATGCCAATTAAATCCAATAGTGATGTAAATATTTATCTTTATTATCTCTTTAGCATTCAGTTTTATTTTACATTATACCTTATATTGACATTATAAAGACAATAAACATGGTTGCAAACTGCTCCCAAGGCATACAGAGAGGTTTAGAGCATAAAGAACTTTTGGTTTGTGCTTCTTAACACATCAAGGATAACAAAATTGGTGCAACCCACCCCCAATATGGAAATGTATGACACTTCCAAGTTAAAAAGTTACACTGGAAGGCTTTGCATGTGAAAGTACATCATCTTCATAGAGTGTTCATAGAGACCAAATGATTAATAAAACTATAATTATAGTTTAAGAAGAAAAAGGGCAGCTACAGAAAAAAAACAAGACACCTCAGATCCAAAAGGTGCTAGATTAGTGATGCAATATAATAATATTAATAATAATTATAAACTTTATTTTATATACCGCCATTAAAGGTGGCTTCTCAAAGCGCTTTACAGAATGACATCAACAATAAATAAAAGGAATACACAAGATAAAGCACAATTACAATATACAGTGGAGATGGTAGATGGTAGATGGTGACACTAGAAAAGTAGAAGCAGAGGGGTAAAGAATGGAACCAGTTAAGTAAAGGCTATTCTAAAGAAGAAGTTGGATTTGAGTCTGGATTTGAAGGAGTTTAGAGAAGGTGACTCTCTGATATCCTTGGGCAGAGAGTTCCAGAGCTTGGGGACATAACAGGAGAAGGCCCTGTCACCCATACAATTTAGAGGAGCTTGAGGGACTGTTAGGAGACCAGAAGTAGAAGTGCGAAGGTTGCGAGTTGGGGAGTAGGGCGATAATAGTTCAGACAGGTACAAAGGTGCCAAGCCATGCAGAGCCTTATAGGTGAGCATGAAAATTTTCCACACGGAATTTGACAGGAAACCAGTGCAAGGACTCAAGGATAGGAGTAATGAGATCACTTGCACTAGACCTGGTCAGGACTCTGGCTGCCGAATTTTTGACATACTGCAGTTTGTTCAAAGTAGATACCCCAGTGAGGAGAGCATTACAGTAGTCAATTTGTGAGAGAACACAAATGTGTTGATCAGCTTTTCAGCCAGAGTTAGTGAAAACATAGGTCGTAGTCTAGCGATATTTCTAGACCAGTCTAAATAAATTTCGAGAGGTGAAAAAAAGATGTTTTGACAATATGCTGCACATGTGGGTCAAATGTTGTGCCGGAATCGAATATCACCTCAAGGTTTTTCAATAAGCATGACTTCAGTCTTGTCACAGTTAAGATGAAGGAAATTTTGAGTCATCAAACTTTTTTGTCAGAGATGCAATTAGATAGAATAGAGACAGCCACATCAGTGTCAGGTTTGGTATGGATGCATATTTGATATCTACAGTATGTGTTGCTTGTTTAAAAAAAAAGCTGTCAAAGCGACACATAGAAGTCTAATATAAATCTAAAGTTTCTCAACACAATTAGAAAAACAATACGTGTATAAGGCACCTCAAATGATTAAGAAAATTAAAAAAGCAATATAGTGAGAATTAAAAATACAAAATCAAAAGAGCTTTGCTGCATTCCTCATTTTCTTGCTGTTTAATTGAAAGCTTTCTTTTTGAACCAGCAACACATCTAAGGCTCTGACATTTGTAACAAACTACAAAGTAGATAATATTCCTCTATGAAAAACATCAGACTTGAATAACTATGATCATTATATGCCCTGTGATATTTCTTGTCATTTATCTAATGGCATTTCTTAAAAAAATAGTTTTCTTTTAAAATAAATCTTGATGCTATTAATCGGTCAGTGACAAAAAGCTGTGACAGTATTTAAAATGTCATTAATTAGACTACCATCACATTTTAGCCATTTATCTTGCAAAAAAGCAAGACGTTTACTAGAGCTAGCCAACATGAGGATCCTGCTATAGGGGGAGTAAAGCAAACCGTTTCACTACCCATTGAAACAGAAGACCAACAGTCTCTAGGATTCTTGGAGAGAGTAAGGGAATTTAAAGATGCAGAAACCTATTTGCATGCAAATGCAGCACTTTCTAGGGATAACTTTGCTAAGATTAGTGTTGCTTTACAAATACCACACACAGCAAGAAGCACTGAGCTATATTTCAATTGTTGCTCCTTCCAACAATTGTTGTTCTACTTGACAAAAAGAGAGCTGATAAATCACCATAAAGTTATCTTACAGATCAAAATTTGATGGATTTTGATTTTTTGGAACTTCAATTGCACCTTAACAAGATGACTTAGAGCTATCAAGCTGTTTGCATTGTATTAAATGTGGTTTGTAAATTTTCACAATCTTCACTTCATTTAAATCTCTATTTTTGACACTATTTTTCAGATGTCAGTAATGTAGCAAGTAAAACACAACCACTGGCATTTTAACAACCATGATTTGTAAACATTTTCACAACTTTTATTTATAAAATAAATCTATTACCTAATTGCATTTTTAGAAACCTTACCCTTTGTGTATGCACACAGGCTAGATTATAGTGGAACTGTGGTGTGCATGAGTTGGAGATGATGTTGGCTGGGAACCTGTGGAGCTGGAACACTTGTTTGGTGAATATGTCCACCATTTGAGTAGCAGATGGTAACCAGGGAACCAAAATTAAGTGAACGACTTTAGAGAACCTGTCGATGACTGAGGCCACCAAAAGTAACAGCAGATAAGTTCCAG